AATATTCCAAGTTTACTACCGTTGAAAGAACCGGATTAATAACAAGCGTATTAACCGATTGATTCTAGTAATAATTAATATGAGAAACAATACTAGTTGATACTTTAAGTAATGTTTAAGATATTAACATGAAATATGAATAGGAATTAATTAATACTCAAGGAAGAATATTAAAATATATGAATCCTACTATGATTAATATCAAGATGTTAACTAATTGTTATTTTAGTAACACTCCCCAATATTAACATATAAGAAGAAATAACTATTACTATAACCAATGTCAAGATGTTAACTAATTGTCATCTTAGTAACACTCCCCAACTTTGATACAGAAATAGCATTTGAAAGGAAGAATTAATATTCAAGGAAGAAGATTAAAGAAAATAACTCACAACTTACAAATTCATTAAGCTTCAAAGTAGCAAAACCAAGATGGAAGGGTTTAGCTCCTCATTTGGAGACTAAACATGCTATAAAAATATAAGAAATGTTATTCTAAACTGAGCTTAGGAGTATGGAAGAAGGGATTATTTTTAGAGACGAAAAAGAGTGCTATTTATAGGTGTTTTTCAACACCTTTGGCCGGGTACCCGACCGGGTCAAGTACTTACCCGACCGGGTCCGGTCAAAATCAGATAATCCGCCACGTTCTGGTGATCTTCGCACGTCATTTTGTCTCGGGTCACATCTGACCCGACCGGGTCAAGTAGGGGACCCGACCAGGTCCAGTGATTTTCTTGGCAATTTCGTCTGTTAAATCATACCCGACCGGGTGGGGGTTTCTACCCGATCGGGTTTTACTCCTGGGCAGTCAAATTTCTTGTTTTCTTCTCTTCAAAGTCTTCCTTTCCAACACCACAAATCCTAACTATACAACTTATAAATAAAGACTAAAATACAATTACAACTAAATTCACACAAATGTTTACAAACTAAATAAAATGGTAAACAATACACACAAATCAATCATAAAAATATACATTTATGCACTACTAATTAGTGCATATCAGATGTTCTCCCTTTCCACCAAAGTTTTAAAGAAAAAGCCTTTTCCACATCATGAAGAGACCTAATATCCAATCCCCCTTCCTCCTTGGGATAACATAACTTTAATTTGACCAATGTTAGGAATATTTTATGATGTCCAATCTAATTAAATATCTTTGTATTTTGTGTAGTTATTAGTTAAACGTGTAACATGGGCCACAAATGTATATCAGCCCATTAGCTTCTTTGTAATCCATAAGTTAGCCAACTTCTCCTATAAAAGGAGGCTAACTTATGGAAACCCTAAGAATTCTGAAGCTTCGAGAGTTGGAGGCGAGATAGAGAGAGGGTTTGCCGCTGCTCTCCTTCTCAAGGGAGAGCAGCAACCATTATCACAGTATACCAGGTTTGGTTTTCATCTCATATCTTTCTATCTGTTTCTTCTTTATCTGCTATGGTTGTTTGTTTGTTAAAGAAAAGGGACTATCACTTGGTATCACAGCGGAGGCGTGAAACAGGTTGAATGTATCTGCGATTTTTCGAATCTAACGAAGAAGTGCTATGCTTTTCTTCTATTTTTCTTTGATATAGAGATTTTCTCCTGTAATCTTGTTTGTGAACGAAAATCTATAAAAATTATACTGTTGGAATCGCCTCTTCAAAACGATTTTACATCATATCTTCATTTTCGATTTCTGCAATTTTTAAATTTCGAAGATCTCTTCATTAGGATCTCGAGATTCTGATTTTACATGGCTGCAGAAACGATTTTGACTTGAAACTGATTCAGGGAGAATCTCGACCTTCAGGGCTATCCAGAACGGGTTTCAGTTTTTCAAAATTCGAAATTTTAATTTTGCAGGATCTCGACATTTTAGGTTTACGAAACTTCGAAATTTGGGATTTCGATATTGAAGATCTCGACATTCTGAAAGATTTCGAGATTTTAGGAATTTCTCGATGTTTTGAATCTTTCAAAGTTTGCAGTTTCTTGAAACTCAGAATTTTTGGAAGCTTGACATTATTCGCATTTCATCGAAGCTTTACATTATAGGATATTCGGATGATTCCCTGCTTATCAAAGTTTTTAGAAGTTTTCGATGTTCTGATGTTTCTCAAACAACAAGTTTTCGATATTATGAGGTTTTCGAAACTCCAAAGTTTTCGATGTTCCAAACAACTTGAAATTCTGAAGATTTCGAAGTCTCAAGGTTTGTTTTGCAGGTGGATTTCGCCATTATTCTTTGAGGCAAACTCGAGATTAAGATCTCGAAGTTTAAACCTCGAGATTGTGATCTCGAAGTTTAAACCTCGAGATTGTGATCTCGAAGTGTAAACCTCGAGATTGTGATCTCGAAGTTTAAACCTCGAGATTGTGATCTCAAAGTTTAAACCTCGAGATTGTGATCTCGGAGTTTAAACCTCGAGATTGTGATCTCGGAGTATAAACCTCGAGGTTGTGATCTCGGAGTTTAAACCTTGAGGTTGTGATCTCGGAGTTTAAACCTCGAGGTTGTGATCTCGAAGTTTAAACCTCGAGATTGTGATCTCGAAGTTTCAACCTCGAGATTGTGATCTCGAAGTTTGAACCTCGAGATTGTGATCTCGAAGTTTGAACCTCGAGATTGTGATCTCGAAGTTTGAACCTCGAGATTGTGATCTCGAAGTTTGAACCTCGAGATTGTGATCTCGAAGTTTGAACCTCGAGATTGTGATCTCGAAGTTTGAACCTCGAGATTGTGATCTCGAAGTTTGAACCTCGAGATTGTGATCTCGAAGTTTGAACCTCGAGATTGTGATCTCGAAGTTTAAACCTCGAGATTGTGATCTCGAAGTTTAAACCTCAAGATTGTGATGATCTCGAAGTTTAAACCTCGAGATTGTGATCTCGAAGTTTAAACCTCGAGATTGTCATCTCGAGATTTAAACCACGAGATTAGGATTTCGAGTTATTGCCTTAGAATTTTCCTTAATCCCACCTGTTCTCGATATTCAACATCGAGAACCTCAACTTCGAAGAAATTCTCCAAAAACTCAAAATTTCGAGATTTTCAGCGACATCGCACTGTTTTGGCCATAACTTTTGACTCGGTGATCCGATTTAAGCGATTTTGTTTTTGTTGGAAAGCTAACGAAAAGATCTACATTTACTCTCAGGGTTTACCCCATAACCCCTTTTCACGCGCCCTCACGCGCAGTCCTTGAGGGCCAAATCGTTCGTTTTCCGACAAACTTTCTAAATCACCGATGTCAAGGTCAAAACTTAGGCAAATCTGTTCAAATTCATCCAAAGTAAAACCTAAGGTCAAAGTTTTTCTAAACTACACTGTAGAGGTCTGAAAATCGTAGATAATTTAATCAACCTCACGTCAACGGTCATCTTACAACAATCAACAATCAACCGTTGAAGCCTCCCTAACTCATCAACAGTGTGTGATCCTCAAACGTGCTGAAATTCCAAATGATGAGCTAAGGGAAAACCATCATGTGTGGTACCTGTTCAAATTACTCCACACACATGGCGGGTATGACAAGCTGTGAGCAATCAAACCTTGCACATTCTGAGGGAGAGTTTTAGTTTTCTCCTCCTGACGCCTTACACCGATAAAGCAAGGAATCTCTCAAAGGTTGCAACATTTTAGGGGGAGTGTTCAATGTTATCCTCCCTGGTGCCTAACAATGACAAAGCATACCGAGTGCTCTAGTTAAGGGGGAGTCCAGAGAGTAAATCAATGAGAGAGCATGTTCCTATGGCTTAGTGTCATTCACTAGAACAGGAAGGTAGGTAGCTTGCAGATTATTAAGAATAATCCTAACAACCTGATTACTAAAACCAAACTGTTGTAGAACTCTGGTAGGAAAACTCCAAGAAAGCCTATCAAAGGCTTTAGCTATATCAAATTTTATGATCACATTGGAACCCCTGACTTTCTTATCAATAGCATGCACCATCTCTTGAGCTATTAAAATGTGATTTGCCATGTCTAGCCCCTTCATAAAACCAATTTGTTCACTTCAGATCACCTTGAGCATAAGAATTGACATCCTATTAGTGAGGACCTTTGTGCAAACCTTATTAATAAAATTTGAGAGGCAAATAGGTCTAAAGTCTATAAAAGAGACATGATTATCCTTTTTGGGAATAAGGGCAATAAGAGTGCTAGACAACCCTTTAGGAACATGAACCCCAAGAAAGAAGTCTTGAACTGCACTAATAACATCATCACACACAATCTGTCAACACTTTTTAAAAAACTTTCCATTATACCCATCAGGCCCTGCAACACCATTTTGAGTTAGAGACCAGACTGCAGCCTTAATTTCATCAGCATTAGGAAGATTAAGTAAAGCCTAATTATCTTCTTCCTCTAGTAATTTGGGTATAAAATGCAGGATCTCATCTGGATCTCCCACTTGTTCCTGAGTATAGAGATTCGAAAAATAATGAACTGCTGCTGCCCCCATTTCACGTAAAGTATTAACCATGTTCCCTGCACAGGTTTGAATAGAAGTAATCTGTTGTTTCCTATTCCTGATTTTCACGTAAGAGTGAAAGAAATGAGAATTAGTATCACCATCTTTTAAGCCAACTAAGATGAGCTTTTTGCTTCCAAAACTTTATTTCAAGTTTGTATTTGGAGAGAAGAAGAGTCTTTTTCATAGACCAATTAGATCTTGTAGCTTCAGTAGGATTGTTTTCAAAACAAATTTCAACATCTAATACTTGTTGCTCACAATTTCTGATGTCATCAAAAATATTGCCAAAAGTCTCTTTGTTCCAAATCTTTAAGACATGTTTCAAACTCTTCGGTTTATAGACCAAACCCAGCATGCCCTTTCCAGTATTATATGACTTCCATCTATTAGCAACAAATTCCATGAAAGTAGGATGGCCAAGCCACATATTTTGAAATCTGAAAGGTTTGGGTCCAGAAAGACCTTTATTTGTGAGTTGAACCAATAAAGGTGAATGATCGGAGGGAGTTTTACTAAGATGTGTAATCTGAATATGATCAAAGAAATCCACACACTTATCATTAAATAAAACCCTGTCAAGTCTCCTCCAAAGCCTGTCATTTGATCTAACACCAATCCAAGTAAATTTAGTACCACTAAAAGGAAGATCAATCAGATTACAATCAGCAATACAATTAAAAAAATCCATCACACTACTCAAGTGAGGTATAGAGTGACCAAAATGTTCAGAGTGGGATGTAATACAATTAAAATCTCCACCCACAATCCATGAAGTCTTGATTTGAGTAGAAAAAAGCTTTAAACTGTCCCACAATATTCTCCTTTGAATGTAGTTATGATTGCCATAAATGGCAGTGATATAACCATAAAAAATAACTGACTTAACTTTAATGTGTGATAATTGAGAATGACATTCAATCATATCAACTTGGAACTGAGAATCATTCCAAAAAATCCAGACCTTATTCACCTCAAAAGCAAGAACCTGATTAAATCCCAGTTGCCTCATATAATGCTCAGCTTTATTAATATGTACAATAGGTTCAATAACCACAAGTAACTGAATATTCCTAAGTTGAATTAGAGAGAATAACCTAGAAGCAGCACCTTCTATCCCTCTTAAATTCCAGAATAGACAATTCATTGAGAACATGTAGGGGAGGTAGCTTGTGAGAGCTCTAAAGCTGTAATCTGTTGGGTTTTGTTGGCATTGGCAAGTTTTTTAGCAGCAGTTCTGGTTATCATTGAGGTTGCTTCTGTAGTTTTTTTTTTGCTTAAAACCTTTTATTCTAACCACAATGAAACCAGCTTCTTCTTGTGTATTATTATTATTTCTGCTCTCTTTGTTGGCATCATGTAACTCCTTTTGTTGAACAATGAATTGAACCTTTTTTCTGATATTGGGAAGGTCTTCTTTCCAACATTTAGTGTCCTCTATGGTTTTAGGGTTCCCATTGTCTGATGAGTAATCTTTGCAGGCTAGATCTTGGTCAAATTCCAATTCCTCATTAAGCATTTGCAGCTGAGAATCATCAATTAGAGGCCCAACGGGTTTGGTATTGTTGATGCCAGATAGTTCAGCTATTAGCCATGTAACCTGTGTATTCTCCTCATTTTGAACTGCATTTTCCCAGTCAGAATTGGCTCAGGTTCCGGGTCATGGTAAATTAACTCAGGATCCTGGAGGAGGCATCTAACCCCCTTTGCTTGGAAGAAGATGGGTCTGTCACCTTTTTAAAAGTATTTTCAGTCTCTCCATTTGTAATTTGTAATTGCTGTGGCTGTTTAGCAACCCATTTCCCTTTCCCAGTTGCTAAATTAAGAGGACCTGCAGCTTTTGTTGTATCAGTAGACTGCATAACAGCATGATTATTATTCTTTTTGGGGCATTTCGCAGCTGAATTCCCTAAATGAAGACATAGATTGCAGTAATCAGGCTTATCCTTGTAAGTGACTGACTTAAAAAAGCCTGTTGATCCAAATTGGATCCAAATTTTCTGTGGAAGCTCGTGTGTAAGATCAATTTCAACACACACTCGTGCAACAGATGGACGAGAGAGTCTGGCCGTGGCAGCGTCCATCTTAAGGGGTTTACCAATAAGCCCTGCAATTTCAAACAGAGCCCTTTTGTCCTGGAGATGGAGGGGCAGGCCTTCAAAACCAATCCAAACACGGACAATCGGAGACTCGACATTAAGACGAAACTCCGGTGTCCATTTAGTGACACACATAATACTACCCCGAATAGACCACGATTGTTTGTTCCAACATCTAAAGAAATCATCATCAGATTCAAAGCGAATAATAATATGTTTAAGATCAATCAGTCCAAGATGAAAAGTTCCTGAAAAGCCAATTATCTCAAAGGATTTGCGAATAACCGTTAAACTAGGATGGCTTTTATAAAAATAACCAACCAATACACGTTTATGATGATCAGCCAAGGTGCGAATTTCCTCTTCAGGGAAGTTAATAGCTGGTAATCCTTTATATCGCATAGGTGTGGTGTCTTCACGGAAAGAGGAGGGTCTGAGCGATCAACCAGCACTTCTGCAAAAGTTTTATTCTTCCGTACATTATTCACCGGTGGAATTGACAGTGGCGGAGCCACCCTAGGAGGGGGATCGGGCATCTCACACGAAGGCCAGAGCTTCTCTCACTAGGGTTTCGTATCTTACCTATCTCTCATATCTCTCCGTATGATTTTGAAAATATGTTTTGTTTTTTGGCAAAAGAATAAGAGCCACTTTCTTGCGGTAGAATGCAATCAATCACATAAGATTTGTAGGTACATAATTTAAAAGTTTATACTACGGCTTTAAATGGTGTTTCCTTTTTCACTTTTTGGGATTTAGTTTTGTTTGGTTGAAAAAGGATTAATGATTGAGAACATCAATTATTTTGGGTTTAATTGTTTAAATGACAAATGGTGTAATCGACACATTGTGGTATCATTAAACAAACATATAAGATCATCATCATCATTCATCATCATTATTATCTCAGTGCCGCAAAGGCTCCCACCTACGGTGGGGTAAGGGGGGTCGGATCTCCGATGTACGCAGTCTTAAAAAAGCCTAAATGAAGCTTTTGTTGTATCAGTAGACAGTGGCAGCGTTTCCGAATGACCCATAGTGAAAATCGCATCGAAAATTGCATAGGTGACTGTTACTTCATAACAAAGAAGTGCAAACAGTTTAGTGATCCATTTTACTTTATTCCATCATATTCTCAAGCCAAAAAATAGCGAGTCTTTGACTCCATTGAAAATGATGGAATTAAACAAACATATCAGACATCACTAGTAAATACTAGACAATAAATCCGTGTGTCGGAAATCATTAAATAATGAAATAATGAGAATAAAAACAAATTTTAACAATATCATCTACAAATATATGTCAAACTCTATGCCAAATTTTATTTTGAGAATCAAAAAATGCCATTAATTACTCAAATTTAAAGAATAAAAATTGATAATTTTATTTTAAAATTCACAAATATTTGTAACCGACGTGAAAACTGTATTTTTTGAGGAATTTTTTTTACCACGTCGGTTATTACACAAAAGTAATTTTGATATACATGTATTACGTCAGTTTTTTGTCAACAACCGTCGTAATAAGTCAATTTATTTTTTAAAAAAAGAATACATACAACGTCGGTTAAATAGATTACCGACGTGATATGTATTAATATATACACGCTTCCGATGAAAAATACAACAGTTTCAAGTGTGAGTTTCATTCAGTCATAATTCTTCATGACATTAGCCTCACAAATTTCATTCAGTCATTACTTTCAAAGGTTTGTGATATAAAAAAGAGTAAAGGAATCACCTGCTTCCAAGTTGATTTTGTTACGTCAATGTAGAATTAGAAAAATAGTGGAGTGATGTTTAGGCATATTAAAAAGTCATTCAGAAGAAGAACAATTGCTTCAGAAACGTACAGATTTATTTATGAGCAAAATGCTGTCCCTGTATTTTGACAGATAAGATACTGAGGGTTGTAGTTGTAGCCATAACAAGTCCATACATTAAATATACCTGAAACAAATAGCAGAAATTTACATGCCTCAAAACACTCCACTCCATTGCAGACTTCTTTTTCAGGGAACTGAACTCATATATCCGCTTAACAAATTCTTGGTGCACTTTTTCAGAAATAAGCTTACTTGTAACAAGTCAGTGTAAAATACTACGTAATTGGTGTGCTTCGAAGGATTTTGGTAGGCAACGAGAAATGAAAGTCCAACAATCAGAAGAATATGAAAAGAGCCGAATGTATGAATAGTCGGAAGAAGAGCTTGACGAACAAGGTTGAATTCATCAAACATGGAACAAGTAGATGGCAGAGTGAGTGGTGAGACTTTTATGCATACATAAATCTAGGTTTCCCATAATAATAAATAAAAGTAAGCTTCATTTTCATTCAAAATAAATAAAAGTAAGCTTCATTTTCATTCAAATAATCTACGCTCCTTTCTCCCATCAACTTGGAAAGATAAAGAAGAAATTAATATCCTGGAAGCAGGATACCAGAGCCCATCAAAGGTACACTTGCACAACATGAACCAGCACAATTATACATACAAACAAACCGAAAGGGATTGCACTCATCCTTTAGAGAGACAAGAAAAACTCAGCTGCAGAGCAAAAAAGTGTCGCTGATATAGATTTGTACCTATCCTCATTACAAAATTTACACCATGTCATTGTGTCATTAATAATGTTGTTTTAAGCATCGTCAAGAAAACGATCGCTTCGTAACATGCTACCAACAAATTCTAAAATTCTGGACATGCAGTTCTGAGAAAGGTTATATTCTCATTTTATACCCAGTATTAAAAAAATTAGAAACAGTTGACAACTGAGAGTGACCACCACAACCAAAATATAAAGGTTGATTTGTACGTTCATTCAAGACATCATAAAAATATGAAATTGCAATAGTATGTCTGACTAAATCTTTAATCGGATCTATAATGTGATTTGTGAAGTGTAGAAGGTCGATCAAACCATAAACCAATCTTTGATACCATATCTCGTAATTGTAAGAAATAGACTATATGAAGTTGATGCAAATTAATATCTTCTTAATATTTATACTATTTAATGGTAATTATGATGGCTATCGTATACGCGATTTAAAAAAGCCCATCCCCTCCTAAACCACTCTCGTGTAGGGAATTAATTGTTAAGTTTTGGAAGATGCCGGTTCAATGGAGTTTGACTACTTGCGATGTTTTACTTTAATTTTATTCCAAGTTTTATATATATTTTGTTAGACAATTTATCCTGTTCCTGGATTGTGTGAGTGGTTTTTCAGCATGTGTTTGTTTGCGGCTTGTTGGGATGAATTAGTAAGATTTATATGGTGGAAAATTGATTCAAAACTTTCACTTGTTTAATGATTACTTTTGTTCATTTATAAAAGTAAAATTTGCATGTATGATTAGGGGATGGGATGATCTTTAATTATACTTGTATGAGTCTAATAGAATTGCTAACGTGATGTAAGGTTATTGGCTTATTATAAACGTTCTTCTTAATAAATGGCTAAATTAATACTGTATTTATAAAAAGTGGCTCAATTGAAGAAATGAAGAATTTGTACTCTGTAACCGGTGGACGTAGCTCATTGGTAGCGAGAAGAGTGCCACGAGGGTTATGTTCTGAGTTCGAATACCGGCAACTGCGATGACATGTTACTATGCTAAAAAATGCATAGAGTCTCTACAAGTATCGAGAACGGAACTTCACTCTATACCTGTCAGATTGAGATAATAGTCCATCCTCCTAACGTACGGGATTGCGGGACTCTCAGGGATGGGTGTCATCTTTTTTTGTTTTTTTTTTGTTTTTAATTTGCACTCGAGATTTCTAGAATGATAATGTTGAGAGAATGAGAGACGAGATAAACAAACTGCTACGTGTCTCGACAGCCCCTCGTTCTCTCTCCTTGTCCTCATCTAGTCATCTCTGCAAGCTACATTTGCTTTTCCTCCCAGAAAGAAACCGCTGTACGAAAACTCAAGACTGCAGAGCACAGATTTTATAGAATATAAAAATCTTCTCTCTGCACCTTTTTGTGTCCAGACTGGGTCCTGCTATCTCTCCAGTGAATTTTACAAATTTCTTTGAATTTTAGAGGCAACATTGAATGTTTTTTGTGTGTGCGCATTTCAGATCGATTTAGTTCGGTAAACGGAGCTATCAAGATTCCAGCTTTTCACCATAAATATACGTGCGGGTTGTATTTCACTTCGTATGCATACTTATATTGACGAAGGTCTCCAAATTGGGTTTGTTTGGGTGTTTTGTGTGGTTGATATCCACTTCCCTTTTGGGTTCTGAGTTTCTCACTTCCCATCTGTGACCCCACTTGAGAAATTTCAGCGTCAGGATGCCAGCTATTGTGCAGTAAAAATCACATATTTTTGCACATTTGCCCGAATATAGGCAATATTAGTTTAAAAAAAGTAGCTTACATGTGCGGGTGGCCTGAACTCACTCTCTTCCAATTTTGGGTGTGGGGTCTACTGTGGTAAAACTACCAGCTTTAGGCTGAGTCTGTGCTTGTGGGTTCTGGGAATCTGTATGCAACCCCCAGTTCAATTTGGGTCTAAATTGAGGGGCTGTTGGTGTCGTGATTTTCTCCTCTACATCAAGCTGCGGACATTAGATTTGAAGGGTTATCCCTCCAGAAACCAAAGCAGCTTTTTCTTGAAAGGAAATGTCTTCTGGGATGGAGATAGATGAAGAAGAGAATGAAACTAAGGGCGGGATGTGGGTTTTGGACCAGAAGCTTGATCAATCCATGGACGAGGAGGCTGGAAGACTGAAAAATATGTTCAGAGAAAAGGTAAATAATGTTAATGTTAAACTTTGCCTTTCTTTCTATATTATATGTGTGCTTTCCCCATTCCATATTTGAAATCATTATTAATATCAACATTAATTAATAATCATAACAATAACAATAGTAATATTAATAATAAAGACACTTAACACTTTAACTTCCGGGAAATGGGCGGTGGATATACTTGAAGAAAGTTAAACTGAAATATTTATCTTTAGATGCTTTTTGTTTACTTTAAGGATACTTGAAGAAAGTTGTAGATACACGTTCATACTAAATCAAGATTGCTGCAGCCCATTCAGCCAAAGGATATTTTGCAGATTTTGATCTATTCTGCCTTTGCAAATCGAAAGACTTCAAGGGGACGGTCTGGAATTGAAAGTTTTTTAAGTTTTTTATAGGACAGGCTAAAAACAATTAATGCTGAAAACATTTAATTTCTGTTATTGATGATTTGCCCTTAATAGCAATTACCCTCTGTTTGTGGTTGCTTAGCTAGAGTACTGATGCATATATATGATTGTTTCAGAAATTTTCGACGGTGTTACTATTAAGGCTTGCATTTCAGAGCCTAGGGGTAGTATATGGAGACCTGGGCACATCTCCACTTTACGTGTTCTACAATACATTTCCCCGAGGCATTCAAGACACCGAGGATGTAATTGGTGCACTTTCATTGATTATATACTCACTCACTCTTGTTCCGCTTCTCAAGTATGTTTTCATAGTATGCAGGGCAAATGACAATGGCCAAGGTAAAACTCATCCCGGCATATAAATATATTTATATGAGCGTTCGGTAAATTCATCTTTATTAATGTTATAGTCAAACATTGGAAAATCAAAGAATGATTGGTAAAAAACACATTGGATTGAATTAGTAAATAGATTCAATTTAAACTTATGGCCCAGTTGGCTAACTCCAACACAATCCTGAATTACTATATTCATTAAGATGTGTGATGATATTTGGGGGCTTGTTCAGGTGGAACCTTTGCTCTCTATTCCCTACTGTGCAGACATGCTAAAATTAAAACAATTCCCAACCAACATAGGACAGATGAGCATCTGACAACCTATAGTCGCTGCATATTCCATGAACATTCATTTGCTGCAAAAACAAAGAGATGGCTGGAGGCATATGCAGTCACAAAGGATGCACTTCTTGTTCTTGTGCTCATTGGTACTTGTATGGTGATTGGGGATGGAATTCTTACTCCCGCAATCTCAGGTATATCTCCTCTGTCCCATCTTCCAAGTTGTTATGCTTCGATAATTGATTCTCAGAATACCTCTCCTCTCGGAGGATTTTGGCACGATGCTTGTGCACTTGCCTTTATTTGGCAAAGCCATGTGATGCACACTCTGATTTGATATAGAAATACGAAGTATTATTTTATTTAATTTTTTATTCTGTATATGCTGTTTCCTTGTATAGCTGTACTACTATATATATTGTACCTGTTTTAAATAGATCTTCCTATATGAGCCTCTCACATCTGATTTGGTTGAATGAGATCACAACTAGATATAGGATCATATAAGGATACCTTTTTGGAAAGGAAAGCAGTATGTAACATCTATACAAGGAAACTGGCTATACAGAAAAAATCAAAATAACTTCATGGTTATTTCCTTTTATCATTTTCATGGAATCAAATTGATATTCAAATGTCAGTATGTTTGACTCATTGGTTTTAAAATGTTCAAGAACAAAAAATAGATTTCAGTAAGATCAGGGGTACTTATTGTTAGAATGACAATTCAATACTTTCTATTAAGTCACAAATGAGTATCAAGATTGTTACTTGGGTTGAATAAGATTTTTAGACATATTCACCCCTAGGTATACATTGTTAAATATATTTGGAAAATGTTAATCATTTCATTATTAGAATTGTTGGCCTGCATTGTCCTTGGTATTTGCTATTTTCTTTCAGAAATGTTAACGAACTGTCATTTACGTAGTCCTTTCAGCTTCTGGTGGGATCAAGGTTAACCATCCGAAGATGAGCAGCGGTATTACTCTATTCGGAAAAAGTGAAATTTCATTTACCCGGATATCCTTGTATTATTACATATAATGTATAATTGACCTTACTTCCTTGCCACAGATGCAGTTGTGGTTGTTTCAGTGTTTATATTAGTTGGGTTGTTTAGCTTGCAACATTACGGGACAGACAAAGTTGGTTGGATGTTTGCTCCTGTTGTACTGCTCTGGTTTCTAATCATAGGAGGAATTGGCATTTTCAACATCTGGAAATATGACGTCTCTGTTCTCAAGGCCTTTTCCCCTCTATACGTATATCGTTATTTGAGGACGGGGCGAAAAGACAGTCGAATATCACTTGGTGGGGTCATGCTCAGTATTACAGGTTTTCTTTTTCTTTTTCTTCATTTTTTCTGTGTAAACCTTGTTTTCTGGATCTCACAATTGTGGGGCGGTCATTGTTAACACAGGTACAGAGGCACTTTTTGCCGATCTTGCTCATTTTCCTGTATCTGCAGTACAGCTTGCTTTCACGCTTATTGTATTCCCCTGCCTTCTTTTGGCATACAGTGGACAAGCAGCGTATCTCATGCAACATAAACATCATGTTGCTGATGCATTCTATCTCTCTATCCCAGGTTCATCCTGCTTGACTGTTTTGCCATTTCATTTAGATTTTCATATAGCATCAGAAGTTATACACTTGTAATGAGATCCATTTTTATGCAGCTAGCATATATTGGCCAGTCTTTGTCATAGCTACTCTAGCTGCTATTGTTGCCAGTCAAGCCACCATATCAGCTACTTTTTCCATAATCAAGCAGGCTCTAGCTTTAGGCTGTTTTCCGAGGGTCAAGGTGGTGCACACATCAAAGAAGTTCCTTGGACAAATATATATTCCGGACATCAATTGGATCCTTATGATACTCTGCATTGCTGTTACTGCTGGTTTCAGAAACCAAAGCCAAATTGGCAATGCTTATGGTGAGTTTACTATGTAATAATAATCTAAAAAGCTACCTCGTCACTTTATTTACTTTCTTCATCTTTTCAGGAAGCATATTGGATATTAATTTTGATATGTTAATTGGCTGATCTACCTTGTTTCAAGACTGAAAAGTTCATATCTTAATATAATTAACCGAGACCTTCTAAAATGTTAACCCGATAAGAAGAGCAGTACAATGTCTTTTGTTGGTTTTTTCATATATAGTCGATGTGAGATCAGACACTTCATCTGGATCATGCAATTTAATTATTCTTTTTTCTTTTGATAGGGGCACACATCCCTCGCTGTTCTGCACGTCGTCTCAATCATGTCTTTTTTCCTGTTTAAATTTACATACCCTCAGGTTCAACACCTCATTTGGAACGTGCACCTTCCATTTTTTATAATCATATTTTTTAATAGAGGACTCATACCATGACTACATATCAGGTAGGACTGTGATACATATTAACACGAATTCTAAAAGGAGCACTTCAATTTCTTATATATTGGCTTGTTATTTTGGATTTAGTCAATGCGAGACAAATACACCTCAGGAAGGGACACAATTATAAATGGACAATAGGACAACCTAGGCTTAGGCAGGGATTTTTACGGATTCGAAAAGGATTACTTACCAACTTATGTGCTAAATAAAATCTTTACACCTGACCTTATTTGCAATAGTAATATTTGACCACAATCTGTTGAGGTCTTTCCATTACCAGGGACAGCAGTAGTGATAGTCATGCTGGTGACCACACTGCTGATGATTTTGATAATGCTTCTGGTCTGGCACTGCCACTGGCTTCCGGTCCTCATTTTCACCTGCTTCTCTCTTGTGGTGGAGTGCACCTACTTCTCTGCAGTGCTCTTTAAAGTTGACCAAGGCGGTTGGGTTCCGCTTGTGATTGCTGCTGCCTTTCTCGTCATCATGTACGTTTGGCATTACGGCACGGTGAAGCGCTACGAGTTCGAGATGCACAGCAAGGTATCAATGGCCTGGATTCTTGGGCTGGGCCCCAGCTTGGGCCTAGTCCGCGTGCCTGGGATAGGGCTTGTTTACACCGAGCTAGCCAGTGGGGTGCCCCACATCTTCTCACACTTCATCACGAACCTACCGGCCATCCATTCGGTGGTGGTGTTCGTTTGCGTGAAGTACCTCCCGGTCTACATGGTCCCGGAAGATGAGAGATTCCTCGTGAAGCGGATAGGGCCCAAGAGCTTCCACATGTTCCGCTGTGTTGCAAGGTATGGGTACAAAGACCTTCACAAGAAAGATGATGAGTTCGAGAAGAAGCTGTTTGACAACCTTTTTGTGTTTGTCCGGCTCGAGTCGATGATGGAGGGCTGCTCAGATTCGGACGAATACAGTTTGTGTGGTGGACAGCAAGCAAAGAGGTCCGCGGATTTCCTGTTGCTAAAAAGCAATAACAGTAGCAACACGGACATCACGACCGTGTCATCTTTGGACACCTTAATGCACCATGCTGGGAGCTATCACACAATAACCTCGTCGTCTGGCGGGCGGAAGAGCAGTCAGACGGGGGAGATGGATGAGATGGAGTTCTTGACTAACTGTAGAGATGCTGGGGTGGTCCACATTCTCGGGAACACGGTCGTTAGGGCCAACAGAGAATCCAGGTTCTTTAAGAAAATCGCAATCAATTATATATATGCATTTCTCAGGAAGATATGTAGGGAGAATAGTGTCATTTTTAATGTGCCTCATGAGAGCCTACTGAATGTTGGCCAGATCTTCGTTGTATAAAATCTCTGTAACAAGTTTTGAACTTTTGAACAACTTCCATCATGAACACCCTGTAATTTAAAAAATCGTAGTAATATTTTTATTGAAAAAATTAGCATCGTGTGTGCATGGTGACGTGTGTTTATTTAACCTGTTGGTATAGAGGCACCATATCTAAGACCCGAGGTAGACTTATGAATGGGTCGTCTCCGGGTCAGAACGTAGTGTTCCAGAACCGGACCCACTAAGTTTATAATGGACCCGGATCTGATCCGTTTAACCGGCGGATCTGAAAATTTGGACCCGGACCCAAACCCAACGGGTCTAGGAACTGGGTCGGGTAGATCCGCCAGGTATGGTATCCACAACATTGTAAACTTTGTGAAAATAATATGACCTGAAAATGCAATGTAAGCAAAATGCGCAAACTTAAAAAGAAAAATGTATCTTCATTTTAAAAAAAATCAAAATTTCCCATAGAAAATTAGTACTTTTATCATATAAAGTATCAGTTTTTGCAGAGGTGTATAACTCCACAACTTGTGTCGCTTTCTTCCGCACGGAAAGCTCGTAGAATAGACTACTGCGAGTATAAAAGTATTACATATGATAATGATATAATAATATTAATATTACTACTATTAGATATTAGGATTTGCCTATCGGTCTCAATACACACTTTATCAGTACGTATAAACGGTAAAAATGAGCTAGTTTTAGGGTATCTCACTATCTTGATCAATATCACTTATACATGTATGTATTATCGTGTATAATTTTAATTGAAGAATTGCAACTAATTACTCTTATCTGTTATTATGTATACATATGTGTGTGTATTAGTTTGTATATTTTTTATTTGAAGTATTCAAACTAATCATTTTATGTACGGAGAACTATCAAATAAGCTCTCAAATTTGTGTAAATCCGTCCTTTTCCTGGAGGCTCTGTCCGGCCGTCGCCATTTGGGACGGTTTCCGGTGAAATTTTTTAATGAAATGTTTTGAGCATCTTCTTCATTAAAGCTATTTTATCCATACCAAATTTCAGATAAAAATTCAACCAAAAAGGCAGTCAAATGATTTTTTGAAATATACTGCGCTGTCTAACTGCGCAGTTATCTTCAAAAATTCATTTGACTGCCTTCCCGATTAAATTTTTAGCTGAAATTTAGTATGAGTAAACTAGACTTAATGAATAAGTTGCTAAAAAAAATTCATCAAAAAATTCCCCCAGAAACCGTCCCAAATAGCGACGGCCGAACTGAGTCTCCTGCACTATTTTTGTAAGTTCGAGGGCTTATTTGATAGTTCTCCTTTTTATGTATTAGCGTGTGTGTTACCTTTTTTTTACCCCGGAAGGCAACCCACCAAAATCAGTGTGGTAAATGCCGGGGAACATTTACCAATTTTTATTAAATAATTTATCAGTTACATAAGAGGGGGATCAAACCAAACATCTAAAATCAATCAGGGAAAAATTGCAACAAGATAATAAAGACCATAAAGACCTAGTAAAACTTAAAAGATGGAAGCCCATAAAAATCCATGAAAAAAGCACGCTTAGCAAAATTGGGGAGAGCACTTGAGCTGGTAATAACCCTGAGCTAATCCGTTGCATCATGCGCCAGATAATGGGCAACGGGTCCGTGCCTACATACTCATAAGAAATTTTAAACGGGTCCGAGTCCGGGTCCGAGTACTTGTGAAAGCTTAATCAATCTTAAAAAGTATCTCGGCGAAAAAAATCACACTAATGTTATAATTGGATGTGATAACTTGCAGGTTTTTCAGACCATAAAAGGAACGGCTCGACCGAGTTGGAAAGAGATAGCTAGCCAACTTGGAAGCTTTTATGGAAGAGTTTCACCATACCAATCTTAGTTTTACTCACATTAAAGACCGTGTAATCGAGCAACTAGTTTCATATCTAAATATTTTGGCATATTTGATTGCAATCCGAACATTTATAACAAGTTTGTAGGCATCGTCATGTTTGACGCAATTAGTTGTCCGTTGTAGTTAATTCAGGTAGGTATTTACTCCAATACCTTTACAATCCTTTATTTCAATAAATAGGTAAGGAAAAAAAATATAGATCATATTTAAAAAGAATGATCACACAATTATTGAATAGATGCTAACGCACAGTAGGTGAGTGAATCATTCACTTAACATATATAAGCATGCAACGATCCTTTCTTAAATTACAACACATTAAATCATGCAATCATACTTAGCATGAAACGATCCATTCTATGAAGTATTAAGCTATATAGGACAAGCTATTATTAAATGAATACCCAATCATGCATGGAAAGAGAATAAATGGATCATGCTTTCGTACTTATAAAATAATCATGCATGGAAGGTTTACGAAAATATTCTTGCTTAAAATAATGATCTTGACTAAGTAAATGGCATATTCAAACGGGTGATCACATATAGTAAGTATATTAGCTAGTGATTAATTAAATCATGCATCCGCTTATGGAAAGCATATTAATCAATAATCAAATAGGTGCGATGTGCATATAATGTCCATTTCGACCTCTGGACAGTTCTGCCCTTTGTTTCACATGCAGGTTAGTCATCAACAAAATAAAATACTCAACAGTTTGAATATAAATATAGTACTCCTTGAATGCACCAAAACCTCCTTCCTGTGATCTATAAATCTGGCGCATTAGACCCATGTGTTTTAAAAAATATGTCAAACCTCCTTGTGTTATAGCGATTAGTATTTTAGCATAATTTAGTGATCTTGACCATATTATTTGCATATTTAATCATAATATTAAGACAGTGATTTCAAAATTGTTAAATTTGTACTCATAAGGAATTTTGCGCATGAATAATTATAACACAGGGAGTTCGACGCATTTTTAAATTACAAAGAGTTAATGCGCTGAATTTATAAATCACAGGTTTGGAGTATTTTAAATGGAAATAATTTCTTGGACGGCTAGTTTTTTTTGGAAGAAATAGGCTTAAATTGATAACACATCATTCAGATAGTAGGTAAAATGACAAAAAGATTTCTGACAACCACCGACCCTCAAACCAGACTTAAAGTTTATCACCTCAAAAGAAGCAATATAACTCGTTGATCCATTAATGAGTGCAAATGAGCCAAAGACGGTCAACGCAGTCCTTCCATCACCCACATCTAAATCTATAGTCTTACATCAGAATAACATAAAAAACTGAAAGTAAACTACAAAATCCTGGCAATCAAAATAAAAAAATGCGAAAAAATAAAAGTCTTGTCCCAGCTTCTCGATAACACCATCCTCCATGTTCCTAGCGTTGGCCGTTGTATGAGCAACTTTGGCGGTAGGAGTGGACTCGGGTCGGGCCAACCGGCCCGGAACCGGACCGGCCCACTACTGTGCGGGCCCGGCCCGGACCGGTGAACCGGTTCCGGGCCCGGTTCGGGCCAACCGGCCCGGTGGGATGGCGGTTCGGGCTCGGGCCCTTCAAAAGGTGAACCGGCCCTGCCGGTTCGGGCCCGGGCCGGGCCAATTTTTTTTTGTTTTTTCAATTTTTTTTAAGTTTTTGGGTTGGGCTGGACATTTTGGCCATTTTAGGTGGTTAGGGTTGGTTTGGGGGTGTGGGGGAGGGTTGGGGGTTAACAAGCCAAAAAAAAAAAGAACCGAGGCCCGGCCCGGACCCGGGCCGGTTCCGGGCCTCCCCTTCTTGAACTGAGGCCCGGACGGGCCCAGGCCCGAACCGGGTCCGAACCGGAACCGGTCCACCCCTATTGGCGGACTTACACCTCGAAGCTCACCTCCTCCCCGTTTTTTGCCCCATCCAGAGTCATATTATCCCCCACATACAGAATCTTTTGAGATAAATTTTTGCAATTTTAGAATAATTGTTATTATCTTTTATTACATCCCTTCAAAATATTTCTTCTAGCAGTAGCAAAAATAAGTGCACATGTTTTTGTTTGAGATTTAGCGATGATAAAGTTACATACTTCTTGTTGATATTTGAATAACATTAAGAATAAAAGTGCATACTTGTAAAAGTTTTTGATGGATTATAGAATTCGGGGTAGATAAAAGTTAACAATTATAGAGGTAGAAAGTAATATAATAAATTTAGCAGAATCACAAGAAAATGACAAGTATCCTTTGGGTGCACGCATATTGACGTTAGTATGGTGACGTCAAAAAGATTTGTGAACAAGAATAAGCAATAACATTTTCTGACGATTCCCTGGAGGCAATAATTGGATGAGGGAAGGGGTGGTCTTACTGATCTGTTGAATGGGATTAGAAGTAAAGATTTGTACTCCGTATATTAATTAAACAATGACCAGTCACATTTTCCCCCCAAATGTGAAAGTATTATTTTTACTATTTTTCTAATAATAATAATAATAATACGGAGTAATAATAAATGTTATCGTTGTTGTTATACTTATAGTAAATTAGAAATAAAAACAATAGTAATGTAGTAATAATAATAATAGTAACAATAATAACAACCACAATAAAAATAATATTACAATAATAATAGAAGTTACACCAACAGGAACAACAATAATGCTTTACAGTGTCTATACAAACATATACGTAGTACGAGGTATATAATACTGTAACACTTTCTTGTCTTGTTTGACCAATTATTAACAATATATACGCGGAGTCAACTATCAATTATCAACGCTGGACAGTACGTTATTTCAAATCATCATACTTCCATAACAACGCATCCCCCGTGTTCCCCTCTATTGTTTACACTGACGAGGCAGACAATAACTGCAGGACTATGTGTAGGACTAGTATGGATCGACAGTTGATCACTTGGATTGTTGGGTTGGAGCCTGGTGAGCATGTGGTCTAGTAGGACATGCTACCGTCATGGCACGTAAGCGTCTAGCAATGTCGGTAAAGGACGGGCGTGCAGCTGGATCAGGAGCCCAGCACTGTTCCATAAGCATTGCCCATTCAGAGTCACAGAAACTTGGTATGTGCGGCCTTAAGGTGTTGTTCACAATACCACCTGCACGGTTTTAGAAGAATGAGAAAAATGTGGTGTCGTGACTGGCGTCATTCAAATGTTACACAACCAATATACGTAGTATAATATAAACCGCCACATTTTAAAAATTAGCAAGTA